TTTTTTGTATTGAGAATTGAACTCAGGACCCTGTGCTTGCCAGGAAGGCGCTATGCTGCTGAGCTAAATCCCTGACCCCTTTTTTTTTTGTTCTTGATGTTGTTACTGTGAATTTGGACTCCCAAGGCCAAGTTTTTGTGGGGACATATGTTTTCACTTCTCTTAGGTAAACATCTAGAAGTGGGATTTGTGGGTTTAATGATAACTTTGTCTAATCTTCTGAAGAACCCCTGAAATGTTATCCGAAGTGGTCACACCATTTCACATTCCTATCAGCAATGCATGAGAATTGTCGTTTCCTTTGTCAACACTTATTACTGCACACAAACTATTTTTAACTAGTAAGTATTGACTTGTTTACTAGTAAGTATAACTAGCATTGACTTACTTATTTTGGCTGAAAGGCTGCTGATGCCCCAGCCATGTGTATATGACAATGGTTCAGAAAAGGTTTAGGCGTTCATCCCACAAGGCTTTATCCAACATCTGTGGTGTGTGCGCCAGGACGAGGGCAGAGGTCTCCACCGCACTCCAGCGGTCCCGTCTCATGGAGGCAATGAGCAAATGCACGATCCCAGTATCGCCCAGCTCAGAGGTGGCCTGGGAGCAGAAGGGAGGAGCCCTCGTTCCGGGCGATACAGCAGAGGGTCCTTGAGGGAGGTGATGCTTGAGTTCAGTTGGGAAGAAGAAGAGAGAGCCGGAGAGGAGGGTAGGCTGGGGAGAAGGAAATTGAGTAAGGGGAACTAACGCCTGCCTGGACAGTTTGAGAACTGGGGGCTTTGGAGAGCAGGGCTTCTGGGAGCTTCCTCCGGCAGGGACCAAGGCATTGGCATGGTAGTCCAGAGCGATGCTGGAAAAGTAAGCAATAACGTAAAGGGCCTATGTTTCATTTCATGCCAAGTGTTTCATTTTATTCATGGGCTGTGCACAGATTCTGAGGAGGGAGTCATGCGGTCATGACTTCCTTTGGGAGGTCAGTAATGGGGGGGTTATGCCTGGACCTTGGTGAAAGACTGGCGTCGACCTAGTGTGGGGATGGGGTCCAGAGGTGTGCTGTGCTTTCTGGGGGAGCTGCAGTCCCCAACAGGGTCAGTATGGCATAGAGGTGCTGACAGCAGGCCCCACACACCTCCAGCAGACCTGAATGAAGACTCCTGCCTTTATTTGTGAGCCCCTCAAGGCCAGCCCTGAGCTACCGTCTTGTCTGAGGTACAAGGCCCAGGCTGGCACAGCCCGTCTGGTTTCAGGTTTCATCTGGTCCACACACCTCCAGGGCTGTCTTGGGAGGGAACCAGCTGTGTGCCTGAGGCCCTTTGCCTTCTGGGGTCCATATCCCCAGAAATAGGACCAGGAGTAGCTTCAGTAATGAATATTACGCACACACACACACACACACACACAGTTTTTTTTTTTTTTTTTTTTTTTTTTTTTTTTTTTTGAGGCAGGGTCTCACGTTGTAGTTCAGGCTGGCCCTGAACTCATTATGTAGCTCAGGGTGGCCTCAAATTCGCAATCCACTTGCCTCAGCCTCCCAAGTGCTGGGATTACAGGCATGAGCCATCACCCCCAGCATTATACCTATATTTTAAAACAATGACTAACACTTTTGTACTTGATTAATTTATACATTTCTTTTGCAATATCTCAAAAAATAATCCTCTAAGGACAGAATCAGCCAATTTCCATGACAGTCATTGAGTAAATATTAAAGAGTTCAACATTTTTGAACCCCTTTTTATCTTTTCGTTTCATCAATCTTATGTGTAAAACTTGGGAGATTTTACATATTACACTCAGATCAATCTATAAGGTCATAAGTAGGTGTGTGCTTAGCTTTGTGGATTTTTAAAGTCATCACTGAGCAATTGTTCAAAGTTAGTGAACTAATTTACCCTCCCATTAATGAGCTGGACTCTTCTTTTAAAAAATGTATTGACCCAGCTGTGTGTGGTTGTACATACCTTTAATCCCAGGACTTTGGGAGGCTGAGGCAGGAGGATTGCAAGTTTAAGCCCAGCCTGGGCAACTTCACAACTTAGGAAGACCCTGTCTCAAAAATAAAAAGTAATAAACGGACTGGGTATGCAGACCAGTGTGAAGACCCTGGGTGCAATCCCTAGCAGTGAAAAGATTTTTTTTTTTGTACTAACCCTAAAGAGCAAGGAAAAAATACAATATAGTGTCACAAACTTAGCTTTAAATCATTTAGCACATTTAAATAAGTGAGCTACCCTTTTGCCAATTAGTTATATCATAATTTCCCCCTTTTAAAATTAAGATGCCCTGTGATTTACCTTTTCTCTCCAATGCTAGGGTCAAACCCAGGGCCTCACACTGATAGGCTGTACCACGGTTCTCATCCTTTTAAACAAGTATACGACTCAGTGGCTTTTATTTATACTCAGAAGGTCATGCAGCCATCATCGCTGTCAAATACCAGCGCATCTTCGTCATCCCCACGGGGGACACTGGACCCGGTAGCAGTCACCCCACAACGCCCACCTCTGAGTCCCCGGCAGCCAAATACTGATCTACTTCCTGCCTGTGGATCTGCCTCTTCTGGATATTTCATATAGCTGGCTAAATTTTAATACATCAATTTCTTTGCTCTATTTCTTCTAGGATCCTAAACACTTCAAGTCAGAGAAGACAGGCCGGGGCCAGTTAAGGGAAGGTTGGCGAGATAGTCATCAGCCCATCATGTGCTCCTACAAGCTGGTAACCGTGAAATTTGAAGTATGGGGGCTTCAGACCAGAGTGGAACAATTTGTGCACAAGGTAAAGTGATCAAAAAGCAGCTCCCGGGCTGTGGACAAGGTCACTGCCTTTATCGGCCAGTTAGAGCACATGATGTACCCCCAAGGCACGGTGCTTGAGCCAGTACTACATGACTGTATCTAAAAAACACTTTTTGGGTAAAAATGCATCTTGTATATGTGTTTCATTTTTTTCCCCCACTACGAGATGTAGACATTGTACCCTTTGTCTCTCATTCTGTGACTTCCACGTCTGTTGGGTAAGTTTATTTGGGGACTGAGACTTTCAAAATGTCCTTCCCTCTCGGGCGTTCAGCTAATCTGCTTCCAGGCAGAGGCAGCTGGGTAGAGGCCAGTGGGCTTCTCTATGTGCCCAGCGCCCGAGGATGAATCCCACTCGAAGATCTTGCCAACATAGGCACTGAAGGTAGACAATGCCCCACGAGGCAGAACAAGAAGTCCCAGCTGTACCACTGAACAGCACACCTCAGCATTCCTGCTTATATAATAATTCTGTTACTAAAGAGTGATTAACCACCCCAAACACAGATTTCACTTTGGCTAAACATTTTGATTCGGTAGCAAGAACCTGCTTGGTGATGATTAAAGTTTTCTAACAGGATACTTCACATGGGGGAAAAAATAATGGAAAAATGCAATATGGAGCATTACGCTTCATGCTCTTCTCATTTTCATAAAAATAAATACTCCCTAAATTGTCTCTGTATCCCAGACAGGCTAGCTGTCTGTTTATTTTTCCACTTGGAAACTGATAAAGAGTAGCTTTTCAAAATTCTTTTGGGGGCACTGGAATTTTTACTGAATGCTCTGAGCTTTTTCGTGATTCAGATGGATTTGTCTACTGACTGAGGGCCAATGTGAAGATAGTTTAATTCTTGAATTTAGGTCTGTGGCCTATGGAACAGATTGTCCCTCAACTCCTCATAACTTAGGCTGGTCGTAATGGCAGAGTCTGGAACAAATTCGAGAGCCTTGGTGTTTTCTTGCACAGAAAGTACATGATCCTCTCTGAGGATCCAAAGCCCATTTTGTCAGCCAGCAGTTGGAACGGAGTGAGACGCATAGAAATCAAATTCGAGACCTTTTGTCTTCCTTCTGTGTCTTGGTTATTAAGGAAGAAAACAATCACAATGTCCAGAAAATATTTTTGCTATCTCAATTCAGTATGTTTCTTCCTTGATTTCCTACAAGTCCCCCCCC